GTGATACAAAGAGGCACAAGAAAGCTAAATAACTTGCTTGATGTCCCACCACTAGTAAGCTGGGATTAGAATCAAGATTTGTTTAACTCTTAAGCTTCTGATCTTCTTACACACAGAGGTCCTCATCATGAACCTTCCATCTCTCAATTCAAGCTAGAGCAGCAAACAAAATGTCTTCCCAAAGTCTAGGGGCAGAAGCAGAAAGTGTTGAAGGACTCCTTTAGGATAAAGAAGCCATTGGGATATTGGCAGTCCCTAGATGGATGGTTTGGAAACATGGGCAACATCTGGCCACATGCTTGTCTGGCCCTATGGTGCCTAAGCACAGAGGATTCCCAGGATATGCTGACAGTGAATTCATACAAATGAACCCAGATTAGAATGCCACTTTTGTTTCCTAATGAAACAAAAGGAATGACCAAAAGGAAATGTAAGATCTTTTTCATATCATTGCAGCTATCTTTTTCAACAACTCCAGTAACCTTTCCTTTCCAAATACATGTTCTGGTTTCCGCTCCCCAAGCTTCTGCACATAGATAGCCACACTCATCCTCTTTTATCCACATCCTTCAGTATCTGTGGAGGGAGACCAGCTAACTTGGACAAAGTTCTGTCCAGTAGCAATGGCTTCCTGGTGAGTCATTTACTTGTGCCCATAGAATGCCCTGTGTGGCTGTTCCTCCCGTATTTTCTATTTACTCTGCTGCATTTAAGCACTTTGAGTTTTAGTTGGCTGGACATTTGCTCCATTTCTCTGCTTCCTTCACATCAAAATTCTTAGAAGAGATACAAATATCAGCTGAGTGATCTTCCTGAAAGCCAGAACATTCCCCATGTTCCTGGATCCTCACCAGCTTGCCTTTTACCCACTGTACTTCCCAAGACCCATAATTAACAAGGTCCCTGAGGACTGTGAGGCTACCAAACAAAAACACATTTCTCCATACTGTCTTTGTTATCTTGGAGCTTACAGCACATAGCCTCACAATGTCTTTTTTTGTTTTTTTTTTTCTAGTTCCAAGGATTGAACCTAGGCCTTGTACAAGTTAGGCAAGTGCTCTACCATTGAGCTACATCCCCAGCTCTACAATATCTTAATTAACTGGTCAACAGAGAGGAAGAAGACAAGAGACAGAAAAACAAGCTGTTTCTCAATCCACCTTCTAGGACCATCTCTTAGACTTCACCATTGACCTTGTTCTTTTCATCATAGGAGTCCCTCTGATACTCTACTTTGTCCTTTGTACTTTTCCTTTTATATTGAGCCATAGACAGATTCATCCACATCCATATATAGGATCATAAATTTGTAGTAGATTTACATATTTCCTCCCCTCTGACCCTTACTTATGCGCTGGTTGCTAACATATCACCAATAATTTCTGAGCATCTATAAACCCACCTGTATAGTACTTTTATTCATACTGAAAAGACAATCTTCCTTGGATGATATGCATATACTTCAGAAAAGCAGGAAGAACATGCAAGATGAAATAGCTTGTGGGAGGAATTAACCAGAAATGGCCTCTAATTCCTGGCCATAGAGTAACAAGACTGTGATCCATCTTCCAACCTCCATAATCACCCTTTGGTTTGATTGAGTCTTAGACTTGCTGGTATGACCATAACTAGCCCTTAGAGCAGTTTAGTTTGACTATCTCAGGAACCAAACCAAACACTAATGGTCAAACAGAGTGACCAGTGTCCAGGGCTTGGAAAAGAACCAGTGAGCTATCAGTGAAGCAAAGGTCTTCAGGGTTGAGTGAGTCCTTGAGAACTAGGACTTGGTCACATTCATCTCTTATCACCTGAGGAAGTAGCAGCTGGCACTGCTAAGGTACCAGCCACTTCCTGGGATCAGAATTACACAGATATAAGTGACAACATGATTCTCTTGGACTAAAATGGAAAAATTTCAAATAAAATTTGGATGAAGCAAAGAAGGAGAAGCAGAGGGATGGCAGGGGGGATAAACAGAGAGAAATGATATAAATACAGTCAATCCTCATTATTCACAGTAATTATGATTTATAAAACCTCACTGTGAATGCTGGATTTTCACTGAACCATTGCCCCTGGGGGAAATACAGGGTTAGGTTCCTATGAACCTGGGGTCACATTTTCACCAACTGATGAATTCATAACCTTGATTTATGTGTTTTCTGTATAAAGACATCTCATTTAATAGGAATTATTGGTTTACTGAACCAACATTCAAGAACACTATAGATCATGTCTGAATGAACCTTACCTAAAACATGGAGTTTCTCCAGAAGCACAGCTTTCTTCTGCTTAAGAATACCAGACAACACTTCAGCACCAGGCTTGGGAACCATTTTAAGTAGTGAAATCACCAACAAAAATCACAAAACTACAACCCCCTCAAAACAGAGCACTAAATAGATTTTTTTTTTTTTAAGGACAGTTGTTGGTAGTGTGGGAGGCGAAACAGAAGATGGTGCTGTCACCTGATTCAGGTGCACATCACTGTGACTCAGTGCACATCAGGTGACTCAGTTCATCACAGCTCTGCACATGTCCATAAATAACCACTAAAGTGCTACAAGGGGTGATTTAGTAAATTTTAGTAAGTGGGAAAATTTGCAAATACAGAACCCTTGAATAATGAGGATTAAATGTATGTATATGTGTTTATGTTTTTCATTTATAGATCAAACAAAATTCATGGCAAACCACAGAGATGTTTACTCTTTAGAAAGTACAGCCTGGCTCAGTCACCAAGACAGGGAGAGTGAAGAAAGAAGGCAGACTGAGGGCATTGTAACAAGACAAAAGCAGCACGCTACCTATAATGGCAGGCCAGGCCATGCAGACAGTGGAGGTGGCCATCAGCTAGCAGCAGACCCTAAGGGGTCTGTCAAGAGGGGGATGGGGTGGGGCATGGTAGTATCATGTGCCCACAACAGCACAGCTGGTCTGTGGTGACACATGTGCAAATATACCATCCCCGTCCATTCTGCCATCTCCCATACTCAGCCTTGGACATGATAGGACCTGTCCTGCCTCCACCCAGCTGTCTCACACAGTCCTGTTCGAGGATCCCAAGCCTAGTGAACAGATATCTGGGGACAGTAACCACAGGTGCAGAGGAGTTTGGGCTATTTTAGAGAGAAACTGAACTTCAGTGTGTCACAATCTGACCAGAAGCCACCTAAGGGACACATTCACAGAGCTGGATCCCACAGGAAACGATAGATGACAAGAATGAAGTGATTTGGGGGGGAAAACTTCCTGAGTTATCCAAATAGCCCCAAGAGCTATTGGGGACATTTTGGTTACAAATCGGAGGTATATGACCTTTGGTGAGAATCCATTTTGGCAGCTCCCTGGTCCCTTGTTCATTCAGATCTGGTGAAGGAGTGAGTGGAAGAAAGTACCTAGGAGGGACCTGGAGGATGGCCACGGAGACTTGTATTTATTTTATTAGGGCATGGTTCCACTGTAAGATCATCAGTGTTGGCCCATCAGGCTTAAAAGTAATATGCTACATCATACTTTATGTTTTCTAAGTCACTTTTATACATGTCATCTCATTAATGTTCAGACTAACTCCATAGCAGAGGTGGCCAGATATTAATATATACATGTGATCGGTTAACTGAAACACAGGAAGTCCAGGTACAAGAGCAAAACCTACAATGAATGAATGGCATGTCCAGCACTCTAGCCTACATACTTCTGGTTTTATGATGGGGAGCAAGTCCTGCTGTGTACCCAGATTTCTCCATTATCTCTTCATATGTGAATTTCCCATTCCCAGGTGCTAGCAGAAAAGGGTGGCACCTGGCACTAAGGGTTCTGGCTCTGGAAGGCCTACCCTATGGGAAGTAGGGGCTTCATTTAGCCCTGAGGACTTACAGATGTGGCATCAGGACTTAGAATCAACAATGCTGCTGGTCTGGTTCCCCAAGCTGGGGAGCAGCCTGCCAGGAAGCCAAGAGAGCAGTTTGCGCCACGCCAAACAGACAATTAGCACTCACAGAACCCCTGCTGCCCAGCAATTGCTCAAGGCCATCCAACCCCAGTCTGCCGGTTCCTAGGTAGAGGGCAGGTGAGGCAGGAGCCTCTAAGCTAGAGTAGGGTCCCACTGGAGGGCCCTGCACTCAGATTTACCCTGTCCCGCAGAAGCCAGGCTGACCTCAACATCCTTGTTCTAGACTTGATTTGCTCTCGCTTCTCTTGGTGGTTAGATTCTGACCTCTCTTTGCCAGTCCAGGCTGTTATAGCTCTTTTCTGGGTGCTTCTTCCAGGCTACTTTCTCTCCAATATTTGCCAAATGTTAATTTCTCATGGTTCCCACTTCCGCTTCACAATCATTCCATTCCCATTCTCCCTCCCTGGCTTTGGATGGGAGCATCCTTGGGCCTTTCCAGTGCTTTCCCCACACTGTTTGCACTTGTGATCCAGGGCTCACATGACAGGTGTGGAGGCTGCTAACCCTGACTGGCCAAACAGGAATGCTGGTACATTCCTGGCAATGCCTGGGCCTTCTGTGGTTGCCATTCAGACCTGGGATAAGCAAGCCATGGATGAAGAGCCAGGCACAGATCAGGTACAGTAGTCCAGCCAGGGGTGCAATCTCCTTTCTTCCAAGGAACAGTTTGGATTGGATGGGAAGGTAAGTGCTGAAGCCAAGTTCTGGTGCTCCCCCAAAGACCTGCCTGACTCCCAGATTAGAAAGCTGAGAGCACCCGTGGGAGAGGAGATTTGCTTGAAGGATAGACACATGGGTCAGCACAGAGGGCTATGGATCAAGAGCTAATGGAAATAAACACAACCACCCAAGGCAAGTGGCTTCTCAGGGGATCAGAGGACACAGCTAGAGCTGGGAGGAGCTGGAGAAGAAACCCCTACCTAGATCCTATTTATCCCAGTGGCTGTGAGAGCTGCATGTTCCATATGGAACCTTAGGGGTCCTCTTCAAGGGAAAATCTTGCTCCTCCTTCTGCTCCTCCAGCAGAGCCTGGGAGAAAACTCACCTGAAGAAGCCTTTGCAGCCTTCACAGGTCATAGCATTGAAGTGGAAGCCTGTGGCTCGGTCTCCGCACACCCCACATATCCGGGGTACATTCCGGTCAAAGTCACCAGGGTCAGGCAGGGAAGTGCTGGCTGCTATTGCCTCCATACCTACAAGAACAACAGGTAAGACATGGCCAAGGCCAGAGTCAGTGCCAGGGCCAGCTGGCATCCTTTGCTTTGCCATCTGCCACCCTCCTGGGCATCTGCAAAGCTGGACATCTCCCTGGGGCCTGAGCTCTTTGGAGCCTTCCCTGGATGGTTCTCCCAGCTAGATTAGAGCAAGGCTTGGAATCAAACTCTGAATTCAAATTCTGTATCTGCTGGCTCCATTGGGTGTGGGGTTTAGCCTCCATGGGCCCCACCGACTTCTACTTCATAGGGTGTGCACAGGGTGAGCTGACAACACATGCATACCACTGACTCTGTTCCACCTCATCAACAGAACCAAACGGGCCAGATCCTCCCTCTTGCCTCATGTGCTCTCCAGCAGGAAAATGTGGAGCCCTCTAAGGCCCGAACCCAAGCCCTAGTCATTCCAGGTCCTGCTCTCCATGGCCAGACAGCTCAGAACTAAAGTGTCCCTGGTGTCCTGAAACCAAGGTGATGAAATTCTTTTGCTTGTCTTTTTTTGCAATAGCATTTAACATTATTCTGAAGGTCCTTCTGGATAATATGAGCCATCTATAATGAATTAATTTTGTTTTCAGAGATAATTTCTATGAATAGGATTTCACACGAGGAAAAGGAGACAGAGAGAGAGAACAAAGTGTAACAGTACTGGGAAGCCCTTCTCAGGAAGTCACTGACTCTTCTCTGCCATTAGGCAAATTGGGCCCTTGACTTTATCTGCTGCCTCTGATCCAACCACTGTCAGGCTCAGAGCTGATTCCAGGGCAACTTAGCCCTTCTAGTTCTCTGGGTTTATACAAACCCTTACAAGGATCATCACAGGTTTCAGTGGTCTCTCTAACCCTCGGCAAGGTGATCACTCAGGTCAGGAGAAAACTAAAGAGAAAGCCAGGAATGGCTTTCTCTGTCCCAACCCAGGGTAGCATTTCCTCCCACCCCTAGGTGACACCCGTAGATTCTCAGGGTCCTGCACAGGAGCTGAGCTGAGCTACTGTCCATGGTCTCTGAGCTAGAGTTTGGGATATTAAACTTTTAGACTCTGATTTCATTGCATCCTCCTTACACTCCTCCAATGTAAGTGCTATTGGTGCCATCCCTCACAGGTGAGGCTCCATGAAGCCCAGACCTTGGGGCGTCCCTAGCAGCTACTACTGCCAAATGCACAACACAAATACTTAATTTGTGTTTTTAAATTTCACAAGGGTTTTGTGCCAAAGGAAGGAAATGGTACAGATAAACAAGGATATGGCATTGTCAGCCCCAAAGGGACAGAGGGAATCCAATCAGAGAGACACAGGTTTCCTAAACTTCTCTTTCAGTTTTTCTTTTCCTGAGAACTTTAACATAATAATGGTGACACCATTGTCCATCCCTTCACAGCTAGGTTTATACTTGCTAAGCTAAACTATGATACATGCATAGAGTATCTCTCTCGCTCTCAAAAGGGGAGAGAAATATTTTTAAAAAGAACAAATAAGGGATTAACAGAAACTTTTGAAGGCATGAAGTTAGGAAGGAGCATTCGGAAACTCTACATAGTAATAGTATTTTACTTCTTTGAGTGATAGGTATATGATATTTTTATTAAAATACAATGTCAGGGGGGTGGTAAAATTTCTCAAGTGGTAAGAGCACCTGCCTAGCAAACAAAACAAAACAAAAAGCCACTTTTTCGTAGTATTGGGGTTTGAATTCAGGACCTCATGCTTGCTAGGTAGGTGCTCTACCACTTTAGCAATGTCCTCAGCCAAATATCTATGCTTGATATGCTCTTCTATATATATACAAAACACTTCTTTTCAAAATAATTAAAAATAAAAGTGCTCTGGGTCTGTCAACATCATCCTCATCAACCATCCCACATCCAAACTGACTCCTTTGAGTTTCTAGAACATAGCAGGCATCCAAGATGTGGGCAGAAATCCCAAGGCCCAATATCATTATGGAGTAATAGGAGAAACTGTCTAGAATGCTTGTGGCTTAACCCTGGGTTGGCTCAGATGCTATAGCTATGAGTCATCATGATATTGCTACAGAGTCTGGATCATCCAGGCTCCCCAACGTCCGGTGGATTTTGTGGAAAGAAAGCGAACTCAAAGCAGAGGTGGGGAACAATATTAGTGAATTCAGTCCAACAAGTGTTCAGCATCCCTTGCCTCATTTGAAGACATCATGACCCAACACAATGCTACAGCATGGTAAAGTGCAGTCTTGACTTCAGGAAGTCTCCTGGTCTAGAGGGCAGGGCCCAGGCACTGGGGTAGATTGGATGGAAGGACTGGATCCATGGCTGGAGGCCAATAGAACAGGACCATGGAGGGGAGCTGAGAGAAGACCCAGTCCTGCTTGGGTTATTAGCTGCTATCAGGAAGCCAGCACTCAGGGCCAGAATCCAGATGTGGACAAGAGGTCTAGGACTCTAGTGCCTAAGAGCTGAAATCCCAGAACATAGGCAGAAACTAAGGAAGACAAGAGAAAGTGAAGATGGGAGCTAGATAGGAAACATTGAACACACAGGATGGCCTCCTGGGGTCCTAGCCCAGAACTGAAAGTCCCTCCCTCCAAGCCCCTCTCTGAGTTCTTACTCCACCTCATATGCCTGAGGATCTCAGCTGGAGATTCTGCTGACATGGGAACCACATGTGCAAAGCCCCAAGTAGGACTCCTTTCTTTCCCCTGCCCACTACTGTCCTACGACCTGTCCCTGCCCCTTGAAAACAGAAAGCAAGCCAGGAAGGTTGTGACTGGTAAGGATGCATCTACCTGAAAAAGCAGGGGGCAGGTGAATGGCGCGCAAGGGTTCTGTCTTGTGAGGTCTCACAGATGCGTCTGACTAAATAGACCCTGGAATGAAGAAAAGGAGACATTTTATCTAAAGCATCACGCCAACCTCCAGTCAGTCCCTTGTGGAGGCCAACAAACCAAATGAGAGTATTTCCAGGACATTAGGCCCCAGTCAAGGACTAAAAACTTGACAGAAGTGACTTGTTGGGGGCAGAAGTACCATGTTGTCGCTGGCAGGAGTGGCTGTGCGGGAGTCAAGCAGCAGCCAGAATGGCTGTCAGCTGAGAGAGAGAGCAGCATGCAGCAGTGGGAAGGGTTGAGGGTGGTAGCCAGAACTGGGCAAATGCAAACAGCCTCCTCCCCTAGGCCGTCCTCTTGCTCTCACAGCCAGGGTGTCAGGAGGAGAAAGGGCCTCTTTCTAAGGGAGACCTGCTGCTCCCACTGCCCCACCCCCAGATTTTGGGGATGCTCCAAGAAGCAGAGGCATAGGGTGACCTGGCACACTGATGAGAGTGGGAAGGAAACGGCTGCCCCAGGCAGAATTGCACAGAGCTGGGAATGGTGCAGTGTGGGCTGGGCTGGCAGCCCAGGACTCTGGCCTCTTGGGTTGCCTTCAAAGGCAGGTGTCTGGGACCTCCTGTCTGAAGAGACTGGGAGTAGGTGGAGTGGGTGCTGCAGGGGTTAAATACAGCAACACATGACTTTCAAACAGGATGTTTCCTGCCATTTTAGCTCTTTCCCAGACATGCAGGATGCCTCTGGCCTCAGCAAAGGCTGGAATAGGGTTGATTCCAGGGCCCAGATTCTGGATCTTATGGCATGATAGGTCACGAGGTGGGGCTGGCAGAGTTTACCCTTCCCACTTCTACCCACGAGGCAGGTAGGCAGATAGACAGACACAGACAGACAGACAGACAGACACACACACACACACACACACACAACACACACACACACACACACACACACACACACTCTTCCTTGACACCAATAGACCTTGAGCCAGGAAATACATAGATATGTAGGTACATGCCCCTGAACCTTGGCAAAGGCCTTCAAACTGGAGATCAGGTCCTCCAGCTGTCGTTTTTCTTCAGAGACCTCTCTTTCCTAGTGGCCTGAGTAGGCAGGTAAAGGGAGAGCCCAAGGGGCTTCCAAGAACTGAGCTCCGTCGTAGAACTGCCAGCCACTGAGCTCTTTTGCCACCCCTAGAATACTGCAGCTTCCGGGGGACAACCTAGGAAAAGACCAGTGGACCATGAGCTGAGATGATCTGAGCTAGGCTGGCCCACTACCAGAACTGTGGGCGGTGAGAGGTTTACTTGCTGGGAACAGACATGCCACTCAACCCCTGTGCTCCCTGTGCTCCCACCACCCATGTTCTCCAACTGACCAAGCTCTTCTGGATTCTACCTGATGGCTTTATGGGTTTCTTAAGATGATCTTTGAGGTGAGGGCAAAGTGGGTTCAGAAAAAAACCACTTCTTTACTATCCTCAACCCCTAAGATTTTTCAAAGGTCAGAGGTAAAATCCAGGTAGCCCACCACCCCTGAACTTAAAAAAGTAGTTTGGAGAGTATCTACTATATGCCATAGACCTGCACATAATCCTAATAATAATCTGTAAGGTGGGGAAGCAGTCTCATTTTATAGATGGCAAAACCAAAGCTCAGAGCACTTTGGGTGGCTTTCCAGGGTCCACAGCTAGACAAGTGGTGGTACCAGAAAAGGCCAAATGAGGACAAGCTGATTGCAATGCCCAAGTGCTTCCTTTGCCTCCTACTAACTCCTCCCATTCCCAGTGATAGTCATCAGAGAAGACACTATTGCTGTGTACTGGGCCCTGCTCGAAGGACTTCATGCTACTCACTCTTTTAACCCTCACCACACCCTTGTCAGATGGGCTGTGTTATTATCTCTGTCTTAGGGATGGGAAAACTGAGGCACTTGGAAGATGGTTGTCTTTGGAGCGAGAACTTAAAACTAGGAAGCAGAGCTTTGAGTCTCCACTCTGCTGCTTTTCCTAAGAGAACTATCTCAGCCATTTCTACCCTAGGCTCTGGATACCTTTCATGTGCACTAACTCATGGAGCAATGCATAGAACAATGCCCAGGTCATGAGGGAAGAATGTGGTCCTTTTCCTTCCAAGGATTCCTAGGCCTGGGGATGGCAGGCCTCAGCCATGATCCACT